TGCACTGCGTTGCATAATTTTTTTCATGGCATTGTGATGCATATTTTTTTGTATTATATAAAAAAACAAGAGAGAACGCTATAGTCGAGTGCCTCGACTATTAGATACCCGTTACTCAGCTAAACAACTTAATATATTTATGCCTTCTTGTTTTTTTTTTGTTTTTTTTTTAACATAATGTGAATTATAGTAACCACAGGAAAAAAAGACAAAAAGTTCAAATTATCAATTTGAATTCGGCGATCTCTTAGTGCTGGCAGCTTTACAGCACGAGCATCAGCACCAGCGCTGCTTTAGCGCAGGCAGCTTTTGTCCTGCACCAGCAGCTGTGTTTATGCTTATGTTTTTGAGTGCAATAAATTGACTAGAAATATTAAACATACATACTTATATTGGCTAAACACATACATTCTTAAATAGTATTATGTATATTAAAGTCTAAATGTTTGCACAACACGAGTAACGGGTATAGCGAATAGCTTTCTTTGAAAGGAGTTATCTTTGCCGGGCAATTGCAACTGTGTACAATGTAAATACATACATACATATGTATATGCTTACATAAATACACACATACGCCATTGTTTGACTCAAACCTCCAATTTGGCTAACTAGATTTGATTTGCATAGTTCTTGGGATATAGTTCGGTTTTGACAAATGAAAACCATCGCAATTTCCTTTAATAGAAATCCTTATCGAGAATTAACGTTGACTCTGTTAAGCACCTTGGCCAGCTGTTCCATCCGTTAGATGGCGCCATGAAAGGCGGAAATGTAGGCGCTAGCCAGGCTTAAGCGTTTAATGGGTTTTTGGGCGTTAGAGTATGCGTGGCAAACTTTTATTAGGCCAATCGATATTTATTGACGAAACAAATACATATCAATTAAAATGTTCATAATATCATCAAAACTGTGGCCACAGCTTGTGGCTTGTGGGCGTCAGAGGGGGCGTGGCACCATTTTGAAACAAACTTGAGCTGCGTAGGAACTCCTAAAATCTACATGCAAAATGCCAATCTTCTAGCTTTTATAGTTTCCGAGATCTCAGCGTTCATACGGACAGACAGACAGACGGACAGACGGACATGGCTAGATCGACTCGGCTAGTGATCCTGAACAAGAATATATATACTTTATAGGGTCGGAAACGCTTCCTTCTACCTGTTACATACTTTTGCACGAATACAATATACCCTTTTACTCTACGAGTAACGGGTATAATTAATGTAAAATTGAGCGACATTAAAGTTGCCCAATTAGCGTGTGGCCTGAAAACCATACAAAAACTAGGCAGGTTTTTCCATTGTTAAAAAGATATTTTTCAAACAATTATATAGAATGTTGAAACAAAATTAAAAAAAAAAAGTAAGGCCCAATAAGGCAAATTTTCAACTTCATGAGCCAACCTAAATGGCAAATAAATTATAAATTAAATTACACGCTTAACAAAAAAAATCCTATAGCAGCTAAAAGAAACACCCAAAATGGGTTTAGTAGCCAATGTCATAAATAAAATTGAGACCAAAACTATGAATACAGATTTAACAAACATTTTATTGTCAATCATTGGCTTTATTATGAGCGCATTTATTGTGTACAAGGCATATATGTTTCATAATAAATGTATATCAAAGAGAGCCATGAATAAAAGCCAGGCTGGACAAAATATAAAATTCATAAAGCGCCATCAATGTCCATATATTGATATATTGAATATAGATGTTATTTTATCCAATAATCTTATCTAATGTACAATGAAAATAAATAAATAAAAAATAAAAAAATAAATAAATATAAAATATGAATACTACAAAGTGTATTAGAATTACACTTGATAGGGAACCCAACTTTCAGAACAGGTTATTATCAAAGACCAATATAAACTCTAAGATGCGTAACGCCCATACATTGGTTTTGCAATATGCAGCTCGTTTTTTGGTGGCGACGAAAATTCCGCTCTCTCCGCTCCCACAAAGTTGAGAGCGTAAAAATCTAAAAATAGAATTGCACGAATAAGGAAATGCGTATGTGTGCGTATTTGTTCCAGAAGACGATTTTCGTCCAGAAATCATTTCTATACTAAGAAACTAATTGTGTGTTGTGTCATAAACTCCTCACAAATCCCGATGCAGGAGATCGGCCTAGCAACAGCGGAGGAGGTGAGAAATCCGGAAAAATGAAGGGCATCCAAGTCAAACGGGAAACATTCGGACCTTGGACCCTCATATGGCAAGGGCAACGAGGTCATACGGTGAATTGGCGGACTTTGGATCCGCCTAAAGAGGACACACCGTGAATTAACGGTACCTCGATGGACCTTGGACCCGCGCCCAGCAAGGGCAACGGGCTCATACGGTAAATTGGCGGACTTTGGACCCGCCCAAAGAGGACACACCGTGAATTAACGGTACCTCAGTCGACCTTGGACCCGAGGGAAATAACGGCACCTACAGCGCCTATAAAAAGGACGGCGCAAGCGCAGCTCGGGACAGTACAAGTGCGAGAATCAGAGCGAGTGCGTGAACGCGGAATAAGTACAAATCGAAACCGAAGTGCCCAAGGATCAAGATCGCAAAGTCGAGACGCCGAACGACGACAGGTCTACAAGGCTGAGGCTACAACGCTGAGATCCAACGGTGCTAGGTCGTGGTAAAATCAAACTTAGGGAGTCCTTGCGCGGTGTCAGGCGATAAAGGTGGCTAGGCGATAAGGGAGAACTTTGTTCTACCTGCTAGGCGATACACCTTGCAGACAAAGTCCAGGCTGAACTCCGGAAGCCAGGCGATAAAGGTGGCTAGGCGATAAGGCGTAACTTCGGTTCACCTGCTAGGCGATACACCTTGCCGGCCACGGTAGGGAAGCTCGCATAACATCCAGGGTTTTGGTGGAGCCGTCCCGATCGCAGTCACCCGGAGCAGCAAGCCGAAGCAACGCAGCGGTAAGCCAGGAGCGACGCAGCAGCACGCCAGGAGCAGCGCAGCAGCGAGCCAGGAGCAACTTCACTGGCCTTCACTCCGCGTCGGCAACATTCCAGCGGGCATTGGATCAGGTCATTGGACCAGAAATGATGCCGCACCCTTTCGCGTATCAGGACGACATTATCGTCATCGGACGAACGCTCGAAGAGCACATGGAAAACCTGAAGGAAGTGTTTAGGAGACTACGGGCTGCCAACCTGAAAGTAAATGCGGAAAAATGCAAGTTTTTTAGAAAGGAACTTCGATACTTGGGACATCGCATAACAGACCAAGGCATCGGAACAGACCCAGAAAAAGTGTCGGCAACTGCCTTAATAAAACTACCGGCCAACGTTAAGGAGTTACGACAATATTTGAGAGTGGCGTCGTAAAAGCGCGTGGCGATCGGACGTCTATATCCTATAGCTCCCATAGGAACGATAGGGTAAAATCGGTCCAAATTTTATGTTTTTCAGAATATTTCGCGCTGTGTAAAAGCTATTGCTATACATTTTTTCAAATCGTATTTTTTTATGCATTCCTTCATCAAGGTAAAAGCGCGTGCTGATCGGACGTCTATATCCTACAGCTCCCATAGGAACAACAGTGTGAAATCGGTCCAAATTTGTTGGTTTTCTGAATTTTTCCCGTAGTGTGTAAGTTACTGACATAAATTTTTCCAAGTCTTATTTATTTACGCATATCTTGATTAGGGTAAATGCGATTGCCGATCGGACGTCTATTTCTTATAGCTTCCGTAGGAAAAATAGTTAAAGGCTGCGAAAGTATCCCTTTTTTTCTAGTTTATTTATGTATACCTTATTCCTTTCGCTACTTTTTCAGTTTTAGCAATTTCGGCAAAGTCTGCAAGGGTATTAAAACTTCGGCTTGCTGAAGTTAGCTTCCGTCCTCGTTTTTTTTTAAAAAAACGACAAATTAGTTTTTACTGAATACTAAAGTATATCCCCTAGAGAACATTTTCCCAAATTTTAATAGAGATCCGAATAATAGTTCGATAGGAAAACAGCGTTTTTTCTGCTCGACTTCAATAGTTGCATATACTCAACGTAAATCTTTAAATGCGATTATTTCAAAGTCGTGTTTTTCCAAAAGTGCCTTTGCTGTGACCACGATTGCACAAGAACTATTTGATCGATCTTCTTCAATTTTTTTTAAAATTATTCGTAATGATTGTGCCGAGTTCGTGAACGATTCGTTTTTTTTGCGCCAATTTTGATTTTGCAGATCAGAATTTTTTAATAACATTTTTAGAACTCGAAAAATCAACTTTTTGGAAAAATTGTTACTGTATGCAGAAAAAACCAATTATTCTTGAAAATAATCGTTCACGAACTGGAAATAATACTACACTAATAAAATTTTTTTGGTTTTTTGATTTCAATTGACCTGCTGGAATTCCATCGTGGTTACCGCAAGCCGCTATAAAAAAGGTTCCGAGAGAATTGCCATAACTTCGTAAATTATTTATATTTTTTCAAAAACAAACGCTTGTTGTTTCGATAAAAACATGTACTAACAATAAATAATAACTTCAGTGTCATAAAATAATTGCTACACACCTGAAAAAAATCCAAAGTTCCCTCAATTTTTTCGCTCAAAAAGGTATATAACCCCTTAAGATAATGAATTTTAATTCGCCGGTGATATGCAATTTGCGGCATGAAAAGACTGGCAAAGAAAAACCGCCCACGTTATCCAATTAAAACAACAATTCATTGGTGGCCAAAACCGAGGATCGAAGTCGGACTTAGCGGGGGGGCACTGTGAATCCAAAGAGAGGGAGAGGACGATACGATATCGAACTCACACAGATGCATTAGGAGCGCGAGAGCGGGAGAGGGAGTGTCATAGGATGCGGATACCGTTACCGGGTAACGCATACCAAAGAGAGGACCTGTCGGAGCCCGTAGCAAGGAAAAGTCCAAAGGCCGCCGCGGATAACGGAACCAGGAACATAGGAAACCGAGGCTTCGTCAGCGCGCGAGCGCCGCAAGACGGGCCTATTTAAATCAGGTCGCCAAGATGTACGGAAGCTGCAGCAGCAACAGTAAGGCCGTGAAGGGAGAGGGGCGGGGAGGCAGCACCGGGCAACAGCCAGGGGCGAGATGGAGGCGGGACTTAGGTTCCGCACTCCAGCTGCTGGCGTCCCCCCTGGTGTTGCGGTCCCCGTCGCCGAACCCCGAATCGGAGGACGAGGAGCGGGTAACCGACGTAGAGCTGGAGGAGGAGGAGGAGGCCGGTGTCCGGTCGGCAGGGCAGGAGGACGAGGTGCCCACGATTGACCTGGCATCGTCGGAAGAAGAGGAGGAGGACACCGGGACGGAGACGGTGAGTCCGGAGGTCTCCTCAGACGAGGAGGACGAGTCACGTCGGGCGGCGAAGGCCCGGATGGCATTCCGACGAATAAGGAGGGCCGCAGCCGGATTCGGGCGGATCCGTTTGGGCGACGCAGCGCCATCGGGCCGCCCGGAGGAGGCGAAGCGGATATTCGCAACCCGGGCGGAGGTGGTGCAGCGAGTATTCGCGCAGCGGGCGGTGGCACTGCAACACCGCCACCGCCACCACCGTCACCGCCGCAGGCACCACGGCCATCCCAGGCACCACGGCACGGACCGGAGACACCACCGCCTCCACCGCCGCCGTGGGTGCCAACGCCATCGCCGTTGCCAGCAAAACGGCTCGGCGGGGAGCCGGAGTTCCGGGAGAAGGGGCCCTCGGTGTGGCCGACATCAGAAGGGCCAGCCGCACGGCCGCCCAAAGTCGCCAGGCTGACATCGTGCCCGGAGCCGCGGTTCCCACCAGCCAGGCCGTCGATGAGCCGACAACATTCGGCGGACAGCAGCCGCTGGGAGGAGATGGCCGAGGAAGGGTGGCCGCCAAGGGTGGCAGCCGAGGCCAACCGGCAGCGGAAGAGAACCCGTAACAGCCGCTGGGCCAAGCTCCTGGTAGTAGACGGCGTCCGCTACCGCATCCGGGTGGCAAACGGAGTGGTGAGAGTCTTGAGGGGACAATAAAAGCCTTTAAAGGTTTTAAATACATAAATTGGCTTACCTGGTAGCTGTAGAAAAATGGCTCGCAGACTGGCGTATCAAAGTCAACGAGCAAAAGTGTAAGCACATTACATTTACACTAAACTTGTCGAAATGCCCACCACTGACGCTAAACAACAAGCCGGTTCCACAAGCAGACGAAGTCACCTATCTCGGCATACACCTAGACAGGAGGCTTACCTGGAGAAAGCATATAGAAGCAAAGAAGACCCATTTAAAACTAAAGGCCAGCAGCCTTCACTGGCTCATGAACTACAGCTCTCCCCTTCCACTCGAATATAAAGTACTACTGTATAACTCGTGCTTAAAGCCCATCTGGACCTACGGTTCCGAGCTCTGGGGAAACGCAAGCAGCAGCAATATAGAAATTATTCAAAGAGTACAATCAAAGACCCTACGAACAATAACTGGAGCCCCCTGGTACATCCGCAATGCAAACATCCAGAGAGACCTGGATAAAAATCCCGTAAAAGAAGAAATTGTTTCCAGAGAAAATTAAATATGAAGCCAGATTATCAAATCACCCAAACCTGCTTGCCAGACAACTCAACCAGCTAAGCTATCATTCCCGTCTACAGCGGAATGATTTTCCATCCCTCTTTAATAACATAAGTTAACGTAACATAGATTAAGATTTACAAACTTATTGTTAGTCTCTTAAGTAATAGAGAAGATCCAATAAATAAGAAAAAAAGTAAAAAAAAAAAAAAATTGGCTTATTTATTTACCTTTTGGAATAAGGGGGCTGCCGGACATAGGTAATAGGGACGGGGGCGCCGAGATAGGCGGTCGATTGATAGTTGCGATCGATGGGTTAACAAAATTGGTTATTTCTATGTTCAAAAATCCAAATGGCAACTTAAGACAACGAAAAGGCAACGACGATGGCAACACTGGAACCCACAATCGATAAACGCGATCGTGGTGAGATTCCAGGGAGTTGCCGGACCGAGGGAAAACGAAATGGTGACTTTTAGTTTGGGGAAATGTCTGGGCGGGAAAATTCGAATTCCACGCAGGGAACTGTCTGGGGAACTGGGAACTGTCTGGGGAACTGGGAAATGTCTGGGGAACTGGTAACTGTCTGGGAAATGGGAACTGGGAACTATCTGGGGAACTGGGAACTGTCTGGAGAACGGGGAACTGTCTGGGGAACAGGGAAACAGTCTGGGGAAATAATCTTTCAAGGAGCTGCATGGAAAAGTCTTTTAGGGAAACAGTCGCGGGAAAGTTCAAGTCTTTCAAGGAGCTGTACGAGTAAAATCTTTTAGGAGAACAGTCTGGGGAAAGGTTAAGTCTTTCGGGGAACTGCCTGGGGAATATCTAACACGCAAGTCAGGCGGGGAATTCGAGTAGTATAAACATAAAGGGCGGGGAAAGTCACCACTTTCATTACTTTTCTCAAGGAAGGGGGAAATGTGAGGAGTCATAGACTCCCCACAAATCCCGATGCAGGAGATCGGCCTAGCAACAGCGGAGGAGGAGAGAAAGCCGGAGAAATGAAGAGCATCCAGGTCAAACGGGAAACATTCGGACCTTGGACCCTCATATGGCAAGGGCAACGAGGTCATACGGTGAATTGGTGGACTTCGGACCCGGTACCTCAGTGGACCTTGAACCCGAGGGAAATAACGGCACCTACAGCGCCTATAAAAAAGACGGCGCAAGCGCAGCTCGGGACAGTACGAGTGCGAAAATTAGAGCGAGTGCGTGAACGCGGAATAAGTACAAATCGAAACCGAAGTGCCCAAGGATCAAGATCGCAAAGTCGAGACGCCGAACGACGACAGGTCTACAAGGCTGAGGCTACAACGCTGAGATCCAACGGTGCTAGGTCGTGGTAAAATCAAACTTAGGGAGTCCTTGCGCGGTGTCAGGCGATAAGGGTGGCTAGGCGATAAGGGAGAACTTTGTTCTACCTGCTAGGCGATACACCTTGCCGACAAAGTCCAGGCTGAACTCCGGAAGCCAGGCGATAAAGGTGGCTAGGCGATAAGGCGTAACTTCGGTTCACCTGCTAGGCGATACACCTTGCCGGCCCCGGTAGGGAAGCTCGCATAACATCCAGGGTTTTGGTGGAGCCGTCCCGATCGCAGTCACCCGGAGCAGCAAGCCGAAGCAACGCAGCGGTAAGCCAGGAGCGACGCAGCAGCACGCCAGGAGCAGCGCAGCAGCGAGCCAGGAGCAACGCAGCAGAAGACAGCGACAACGGGCAGCAGATCAATAGCAATAAGGCTATATTTTAGAGAAACAATAAACCAGCACCAACCTAATCATTTCTGGCGCTATCCTTTGGTCACGGGCGGTCACTCAATATAAATTTGGTGGAACGAACTCACAACCTTTTTGAGCTACGTAGCGAGCAGAAATTAACTTCTATGATTGAACAGGATGATTGTTTAAATTGCATTTATGTAAATATATGTATACGGCAATGAAGCTTGATGTAAAACTTTTTTATATACCTTAAAAATTAGTATCTGCATATTTAATTCATAGTTTCGTTTTACATATTTAAATTAAAGCTAAAAACAAAATTTTTAAATCAAAACATATAAAACTGCTTTATTAAATTTAAAAATTTTTCAATAACGTTTAATATATTTGAATATACTATGATTGTTAAACAAAAACAAAGCGAAGTTTATTTAAATTAAATATATTTAAAGGATAAAGGATACTATCCATGTCTGTTTTTTATTAACTTTAAAATGGAAATATTAAATTTAATTTTTATTCAAATATATTAAACTTTGATTTAATGATTTATGGAAATATTAAATTTAATTTTAATTAAAATTTATTAAATTTTGATTTAATGACTTAAAATATTTAAAGTAAATACGAATATCATCATATCTAATATTATCAACCTGCATTTAAATATTTTCATATTTAATCAAGCAGTTTTATTTTAATTATTTAATAGTATATTTTATATAATGACTATTTAAATTATTTAAGCAATTTAATAGAATATTTAACATATTAACTATTTTAATTAATTAGTATATTTAATAAGTAAAATAGTTAGTATACAAATACATATACAAATATTTATTATGTATTATTACAGGGTAGGTTTAATTTTCAAAATTTCGCTACCTTAGGAGTATATTTAAATATTATACCAGTACATTTTTTATAAGTTATCAATTTTTAGTATTTTGTATGAAATTAAAATTTGGTTTAATGATTTGTGCCTTTTAAATTTGATTTGAAGCTTTTTTGGGTTTTTCTTTTTTCTAAATAATTAAAATAGCTAATATTCAAATATTTATATAAATTTAATTTATATTATGGTAATAATTTTATATAATGTTATTATAATACGTATAATATAAAATTACCACATATTTTTAAATCCATATATTTAAAATACAATAAATATAAAAATATTCATCCTGTTCAATCGCAAAATTTCTGAGGCTGCTAAAAATCGTTTACACGTCGCATGCTGAATACCCTAATGATAATTATTCCAATGTGAAGTCATGTATGAAATAAATTATGTTTTTTTTTTTTAAACTTAGATATATTTGGTGATTACTAAAAAATATTATACATTCGAATAATTAGTAAATAAAGTAAATATAAAGGCAATATAATATAAGTATTTTTAATAATGTTATAATTTTAAAATAAAGAGTATATTTCGACAGCGCGCTGCAGCGAATTTCTTCGCTTGTGAATACATGTGCACACATACATTCGTCGGCTGTCGCAGTATGCGTGCAAAATAGCGGCTGGCTTTAGAGCGCTCTCTCGCTGGCTTTTGGGCAGAGAGCGAAAAGCCAATTGAAAAGCCAGCACAAAAAATTCGTGTGCAAAAAAATCGTATGGCGTTACGCATCTTAGAGTTTATATTGGTCTTTGGTATTATCAATAATCGAAAAAGGAGCTGAGCCACTACTAATAAATGAATTCGAATATGAGTACATGAATAGGTACAACTTAGGCTTTTCTCCCTTGATACATTGCTCAAGTACTCAGAAGGCGATAGTATTAAGCACCGTCCCGACCCTAAAAATTAAATCAGTTATTAACAATAAGAAGATACGAGAAAAAAATTCCATTAAATAATGGAATGGGACGAATTATATAAAGAACTAAATAATATAAAAATTGATTTTGACAGATCTTATAAGTCACTATCAAGACCCCGGCCAGCACCGCAAAGCACTGTGAACAAGCATGCCTTAATATTAGTAACCCGCTTCAATACAGCGCGTATTCTAATACACGATCAGAGAGATAGGCTAAACAACGCCCATTGGTCTCAGGTATCAAAATATTTAAACAAATTACGGGATAACCTTATAGCTATAAGGCAAAGCCGTACGACTTAACAATTTCAGTACCAACTATCCTAAACACACCGTTGAAGATAGAAGCTAGAGAAGAGTCAGAATCATCAGATCCACCAGTACAAGCTGAGGCTGTCGACCCTATCTCTACAGATCCCGATATAGAGGAAAAAGATATAAACAACCTCACTATTCCGGCAGTCCTTATTCAATCTGAATTATCAGACCAGGAATCGACCGACTCGGATTCTCACAACAGCATTGTAGAAATAAATGCAACCACAATGGCTGAGGGGATAATTGCCCAAAGAGAATACATTAAAGATATATCGAATGCCATCCCGGAGTTTAACGGGCAAAGGATACACCTTCAGAGATTCGTAACAGCTTTGAAGTTGGTTAACCATACGAAAGGTACTTTCGAGGTTTTGGCTGTAAAAATCCAAAATAATTGGATCGACATTATACAGAGTCCAAAACGAAACCACAATAGAAGCTATAATTAAAAAACTGCAAGATACTATAGTCGGAGAAACATCCGACGTAGTTAAAGCCAAAATGGCAAAAACAATCCAAAAAGGTAAAACTGCAGAAAAATTCACGACAGAAATTGACAACCTACGAAAGCTCCTTGAAGCTTCGTATATTGATGAAGGCCTATCGGCCGAACACGCTGACAAATTCAGCACCAATGAAGCAATCACCGCAATGGTCAAAAATTGTGAGCATAGCCGCCTCAAACCAACATTGGAAGCAGGCAATTTTGCAACCACGAACGAAGCCAAGTACATACAATGTAGTACTGAAATGACAGGCAATGGCAATTCCATATTGTACACCCAACGTGGAAATAATGATCGCGGTAATAATTATAAAAACAATTATCGCGGTAGAGGTAATAATCGAGGTAATTATAACAATACCAGATATTATCAGAATAACGGATATAATCAAAACAATGGTTATAACAGAAATAACAATAACCAAAATAACAGATATTACAGAAACAACAACCGTGGTGGAAACAACAACGGCGGAAACAGCCGTGGGGAAAACAACAATAAACACAATAACAACGTTAGAAAAAGCACAAACGGAGCGTGCGTCTGAGAGAGATTTCGACGGAGTCTTGTACTCGATTGTCGGATCTAAATCCGCTGCAGGTTTCGGCCCATGGTCGGCATCCCTGGGTGACAGTGCCCACAAAACTTTTTTCTTTTGTTGCTGTTTCTGTCGATCGTTGCCGGACCGCGTGATGGCCAAGGATTATGACGGAGATAGCCTCGTTTGTCGAATCCAAGGACCATTGCGGGTTCCCAGGCGCGTGGCGGGTAGAGATTACGACGGAGCTCTGCTCGATTGTCGGATCCAAGCCCGCTGCGAGTTCCCGCCACGCAATCTGAATAGGGTCATTTTTATCTCGCCCCTCCCTTGAGTCCTTGAACTGAAATAAATTATTGTAAGTGACCCTGGGAGCCCTGAGCACAATATCCCAGCCTAAGAACTTCCTTACATGGCGTCCGAACAGAGACTTCAAGGATACGGGAAATTTTTCCTCAAAAAAAAATATATAATTTTTTTTTTTCTCAAGAAAAATAAAATTTTTTTGTTGGGGTATATGTCGTAAAGACCCGTGAGATAGACACCCAAACCCTAAGACCAATTTTTTTTACACACACATACAGAATTTTCCTTCATATATCATTTTCCCTCTACGAAACCGCGTGGTGGCCCAGGATTACGACGGAGTCTTGCACTCGCATGCCGGTCCCGGAGCGCGTAGCGGCCGTGGATTACGACGGAGCTAAGCTCGTTTGTCGGGTCCCGGAGCACGCTGTAAAATTTTTTTTTCCTGGGGAAACGGGAAGAAAAATATAAAAATATGTGTGGTTGCAAAAAAAAAAAAAAATTGTATTTTTCCTCTCTTGCTTCCCACGTTGTTCCGAACGCGGTAGACACGTGGCCGGTGACTATAAGAGGAGCACACCGGGCTACCAGAAGTCAGTCAAACTCCGGCCCTCAAGCGGGGAACATCGTCGCGAACAACAGAGTCCTGTGAACATTCGGCATCCTAGCCCGAATCCTAGCACCGTGCACAGCAAGGACCCCCAAGTCCTGTGAACATTCGGCATCCTAGCCCGAATCCTAGCATCGCGCAACCAAAGGACCTCAGAGTCCTGTGAACATTCGGCATCCTAGCCCGAATCCTAGCATCGCACAACCAAAGGACCCCAGAGTCCTGTGAACATTCGGCATCCTTGCCCGAATCCTAGCACCGTGCACAACAAGGACCCCCGGTCCTGTAAACATTCGGCATCCTAGCCCGAATCCCAGCACCGCGCAATCAAAGGACCCCCGAGTCCTGTAAACATTCGGCATCCTAGCCCGAATCCCAGCACCGCGCAATCAAAGGACCCCAGAGTCCTGTGAACATTCGGCATCCTAGCCCGAATCCTAGCACCGTGCACAGCAAGGACCCTCGAGTCTTATAAATATTCGGTACCCTCGCCCCGAATTATTTTTCCGCGTACGCAATCAAGCGGTACGATTTTTTAATTTCCCCCCTCCGCTCTCTGTCGCTCGGAAACCATGGGTGTACAGTGGATATCCTATCGCCGCAAGGAGGAACTCCAACTCCTCTTAGCCGAGATCGGGTTACCCCAAGGGGGAACCGTCGAGGAACTGCGCAGTCGGCTAGCGACTTTCCTCACCCGGGAGGACCTCGAGGACCTCCCACCACAATACTTCCAACTATTGGAAGACACGATCCGCCACACCGACAACCCCGACGATTTCCAGCTCCCATACCATGCACAGGAAACGTGAATCACCCCCTGGAACTTCCAGGCACCCCGGCGACAAACCGAATGGTGGCGCAGGTACCCGAACATCGCAAGCGTTCCTTGTTCCGCTGCGGGGAGACAGGACACTTCCGCCAAGAGTGCCCCAATCCCCAGGTCCTGTTCTGCTGGCAGTGTGGAAGAAGGGGAGTGCGGACCAACGAATGCTGTCGGGCCCGAAACCCGGGAAACGGACCAAGTCCTCGCCCATCCGGGGAACCAGCGAGGACCACACACCAAGGACACCAGAACTAACCCCACCTTTACGATTTGAAGGGGGTTCGAGGGGAAGACGTTTCACGTCACCCTGGACACCGGGGCGTCCAGGAGCTTCATCAGCGCGAAAATAGCCGACGACATTGGGAGTACCAATAACCGCCGGGATGTACGAACGAGGATTGCCCTGGCAGAGGGATCCACCACCGACGTCAGCCACGCCCTGACCACCACCGTAACCCTAGGACGGGATACGGCTAAGACCACACTGCTAGTGCTACCGTCAATCTTGGACGAGATCATCCTCGGAATCGACTTCCTCTGCGGAATCAAGACCGCTATCCAGTGTGGGAAAGCCCAGTTGTCTCTCTCCTACTACACTCCGCCGCTAACAAGCAGAAGCAAACCACCCATCGTCACCCCACGAGTAGCTGCTATCAGTCCAAGCGCCGTCGGACCAACACCATCACCACGCTGCACGGTACCACCCGTGGCAGCCCCTCGACGATCGGCGTCTCGAATACAAGCCAACGTGCCTACCGTAACCCCACGACGATCACCGGCACTTCTACAAGTGGAGACCCCCACCGTAACACAGGGACCCCGACCCACGCCGTCACCAGGGAATAACTCTTTTTATTTAAAACCTTTGGCCGACGCCGCCGCAGCACGGAAGAACAACCCCTTTCGAAAGTCACAAACGACTACCCACCCACCGGGACAAACCCAAGAGGTAACAGCCAGCCAAGCAACGGTCATCACTGAAGGACCCGAGGAATCCCGGATCCAAGCCTTTCTCGAGGCGGAACTCGCTGCATTCGAGCATATGACCGGTACCTCTCACATAGCCGAACATAGGATTGTCATGAAGGACGACAAGCCCATTAAGCAGATGTACTTTCCAAAGAACCCTGCCATGCAGAAAATCATTAACGAACAGGTTGATGAACTGCTTCGTGACGGACGCATCGAGCCTTCCCGGAGTCCTCTCAGCGCACCCCTCGTCCTCGTCGGCAAGAAGACAGGAGATGTGCGCATGTGCGTGGACTACCGTCAGCTCAACGCTAACTCGGTGCCTGACGCCTACCCATTACCGCGGATAGGACACATCTTGGAACGACTTCGCAACGCATTTACCGTGCCGGGCCGCGGGCTCTTCCAGTGGAAAGTAATGCCATTCGGCTTGCACCCGGCTCCTGCTACATTTCAGCGGGCACTGGACAGCGTGATAGGACCCGTCATGGAGCCTCACGCATTCGCCTATCTAGATGACATCATCGTCATCGGGACCACGTTGGACGAACACTTCACCAACCTACGGGAAGTACTCCGACAGCTTAGGCAGGCCAACTTGAAGCTGAATAAAGCGAAGTGTAAGTTTTTCCAGCGCAGCATAAATTACCTAGGGCACGTCTTTAGCGAAGACGGAATCCACACCGACCCAGACAAGATAGCCGCTGTAAGAGAACTGCAGCCACCTACTAACTGCAAGGAACTTCGACGATGCCTGGGGGTAGCATCCTGGTACCGGCGATTTGTGGAGAACTCCGCCACAATCGTCCAACCAATGTCCGCCCTGCTCAGGAAGGGAAGGAAATGGACCTGGAGCGACCCACAGCAACAGGCATTCGAGGAGTTGAAAAGGAAACTCACCGAGGCACCAGTACTGGCCTGCCCGGACTTCAACCTCAAATTTCAACTACAAACCGACGCAAGCGACTTCGGCCTTGGAGCCGTCTTAACCCAGCAAGTCGATGGAGCCGAACGAGTCATCGCCTATGCCAGCAGGAGGTTGCTTGCAGCAGAGGAAAACTACTCTGCTACGGAAAAGGAGTGACTTGCAATAGTGTGGGCAATCAGGAAGATGAGGTGCTACCTCGAAGGATACCGATTTGATGTTATAACAGACCACCTCCCCTGAAGTGGTTGAACTCAATCGATAACCCGACAGGCCGAATCGCACTATGGGCCCTCGAGCTCCAACAATTCCAGTTTGACATCTCATACCGACGGGGAAAACAGAACGTCGTCGCGGACGCTCTGTCCAGGCAACCGCTTGCAACACTCCAGCAGGTGAATGAGACCAACGAACCGTGCAAGTGGATCACCGCAAAGATCAAGCAAATCGAAGCCAATCCGGAGAAATTTCCTGACTACATCCAAGAGAACGGGCAACTCCACCGACACCTCGACAACACGTTTAGGAAGGAAGACCATGCAGCATGGAGACTTTGCGTACCCAGCAGCCATTAGCGTCGGGTTCTGGAAGAATGTCATGAACACCCCACTGCAGGACACCTAGGGATCAGGAAAACGACCACTCGAGTCTGCCAACAATATTATTGGCCGGGCTTATTTCGAGACATCGCTCGTTACGTCCGACAATGCCCAGCCTGTCAGCAATTTAAGGCAAGACAACGCAAACAAGCGGGGAAGATGCTAACCAGGAAATCAGAGGGACCATTCTCAACCCTGTGCGCGGATTTCGTAGGGCCTCTGCCCAGGTCCCGCAAAGGACACACGATGTTACTGGTGTTTTTGGATCATTTCACCAAATGGGTGGAATTAATACCCCTACGCAGAGCTACCGCCACCAGACTGGAATTAGCCTTCCGGGAGCGAATACCCAAAAACTTTTATCTGCGACAATGGGACCCAGTTTACCAGTAGGGCCTTCAAAGCATTCTGCAAGAAAGCAGGAATAGAGGTCCAACATACTGCTCCATACTCCCGCCAACAGAACCCTACAGAGCGAGCCAACCGCACCATCAAAACGATGATCGCGCAGTACGCCACAGAGGACCAACGAACATGGGATCATCTGTTGCCGGAAATCACCCTGGCCATCAACAAGAGTGTCTCCGACAGCACCGGATTCAGCCCAGCGTACCTAGTACAGGGTCGTGAGCCCCGAAGCTGGTTCAACGAAGATACACCAGGGGCCAGCGAAGCGCCCAGAGACCCCCAGAGTAAGGCAGAGCATCTCAAGAACATTTTTCAAACAGCCAAGGAAAACATGGAGAGAGCAGCTCAGGAACAAAGTCGCTATTACAACTTGCGCCGACGGGAATGGAGACCGACCATTGGGATGTGGGTTTGGATCCGAACTCACCACCTGTCCAACGCCGCGGAGGCGTTCAATGCAAAATTAGCTCCAAAGTTCGAAGGTCCCTATAAGATCATAAAATTTCTGTCACCAAACATCGCCAGAGTCCAACTTCGAGGAACACGCAAGCGTCGCAACGCAAATCTAGCCGATTTGAAACCCTTTCATGGGGATCAGACCGCCGAGGACCCAGAAGAGGACGCCGAAGGGATCCACGAATCCACTCTAGATACTCACCAAACCCGAGGCACCTGTACGCCACTGCCGGGAAGGCAAACTAAAATATGCCGTGGGCCCCTTGCTACGACAAGGAGATTCAGTGGGGCCACTTGAGCCTGGGACCCCCAGCGCCAACGCGCCACAACCCTCCCCATGGGTGGGGGGGTGTCTAACTCCTTAGGGTACACCACGCCAAAGTAGCCACGCCTAGTTACCACCATAGTCACCGACGGAAACACTACGACACACGACCAGAACTTCCCTAACATCACTAATTCTCCACGCTAACACGTTCTTCTCACCCCGTCCAGCCGTAGGTCTTCAACCACCGAGACCCCTTGGACACCGCCCATGAGCCCCCGGCCTTGGAAGTTGCCACTGTCCTGGCCCGAGTCAGCCAGTACGCTGCCCAACACGCCCGACGACTCGTTGGCACTCAGCAGCCATAGTGACCACCAGGGATCTGCACCTCCAGCAGACGACGTCCCGAATTCCAGCCAGGCTGACCCACTGTGGTGCTCCGTGTCCCGACTGGCCACCATCCACGTCCTGGAACCCCCGAGCGAGGAGGTCCAACCGGTCGCGCGGGCCGCTAGCAGCTGGGTGGACGTAGCCGGACTAGGTCCACATCCAGGGGATGACGCCCCAAGTTGCAGCCAGGCTAACTCAACCCTCCCCGACTGGCACAACTGCAAGCCCTGGAGCCCGGGGACGAGGCCACTCAACCAGCCATACGTGCC